CAGCCAAAGATGTTAGAATTGTGTCGATGTCCCAATATTTCTGGACCTGACTGTATATGTGTATGTATAGTGCTATATTAAATTTTATCTGGATTAATAGTATGTTTCATGTGGTAATTCAATAATTTCCTCTCTCTGTTCTGCAAGGTAGATTACTACAATGAAACTCAATGAACGTAGTGTGGCACATTATGCCACATGTGACTCTCCAGCAGATCATACTGGCTTTCTGTGCAAGCGCATGGAACGCTACCACCACCACCACCACATCACCTCTTACCAACGCCGCTGGTTCATTCTCAAGGGCAACTTGCTGTTCTATTTTGAAGAGCGGGAGAGCCGTGACCCCCTGGGTCTCATTGTGTTAGAGGGCTGCACTGTGGAGCTGTGTGAAGCTGCTGAGGAATTTGCTTTTGCCATCCGCTTTGATGGCAGTGGTGGCAAGTCTTATGTGTTGGTTGCTGACTGTCAAGCTGCCATGGAGGCTTGGGTGAAGGCACTTTCACGGGCCAGCTTTGATTATATGAGGCTAGTGGTTAAGGAACTAGAGAAACAGCTGGAGGAGGCCCAGAGGAGCTTAGCTGCTAGCCATAAATCACCAAAGAAGTTGTCTTCTGGCCGCAAAAGACATTTATCAAATCCCACTATGATATCTATCCAAGAGCATCCTGTCATCTTGGAGAATGGTTACTCCACATGGGACAATAGTTGTACTCTTGCAGAAATGGCATATTCTGACCTCAGTGGCGGATTCCTGAAGCCCCCACCTTTACCTCCTCGTCGAAAACTGACAGGCAGCACTGTAGGTGGAGCATTTTTGGCTGGGTTTGCTTCTGCCACACAGGAAAGTCCTGTATCTCCAGAGACTACCTGCTTCTCAAAATTGCATAATTGGTACGGACAGGAAATTGCAGAGGTGAGAAGAGAGTGGATGGAAAGAAAGAAGACAGTAGAAATAGGAACACAGGAAGAAAATACATTTTGCAGGACTGAGAGAAATTGACATTAGGTAGGTTTCTGCAGACCTCCGGAGTCACTTGCAGGTTTTTCTCCTAGCCTATAAAATCTAGGAAACATCCATTATTGCATCTTCCAAAATGGATTAAATAAAAGTCTTGTTTACTATTATTTATTGCTACTACACATTATTGCCAGGAATTTTAAGGGAAAAAAACACCATATTTCTAATTACATACCATTCGGAATTCAAGAAGATATTTCTAAGAAACTGCTACATCAGCTCAAAAGAGTGTTCCAGGCCTTTATTTCAGAAAAGCAACTTCTTGATGCAAGAGAAGAATCCGTGGGTCATTTCCTTCCTTATGCTCCATACAATACTATTAATGATATTTCATCTATATATTACAGCTATTTTGATAGATGGTGGGGCAGTATAGTAGTGAGTTGCCTTGAATATTCATTAGAAAAACAGAACATACTATTTATATATCAGATTTTAATTATATCGGGCACTTCATATGCTTTATATTTTCATGAAATAAGGCCTCATGCAGATGAGGACAAAGTTGTGAATACTTGCTTCCCTAAGACCATCTCAAGAATTTATAGTCAAACTATAACTTTTATTCATGAACTTCCCAGCTCAGACTCTCAAATGCAACACTGGGTAGCTCTCATAAAATATAAGGACAATATATGATGCACATCCATTCCTTAGGTATGCCTTTACCTGACCTTCCTTGTGCTTTTTCTATCTTTTGGAGCTTAATCTTCATATACTAACACACAAAGTAGAAAAAGCACAAGGAGGGTCACAGAAGCAACATAATCTGGATAACAAAGCCAAATTATTCATAGCAGCTGCTCTCAAATTGTTAATATAATGTGTGATAGTTTAACTGATCATCCTCAGCATCACTTCTATACAATAGGCTGGGCTGTTTGTTGCTTTTGATAAACATTTTGTTCTAAATTCTGCCCATAATATTGCTACAGATTAATAGCAAGAATTCATCTAAAGCAATCTTCCATAATTTCATATGAATATGAGTTTAATTCTTTGGTGTTCAGCATCCATAATCTACCTACCATTCTGCTGCTTTCTGATCATGGGGGCCCATTCCCAATGTAATGGTCCTGCAGAGTTATGACCTTGAATTTAACTAATTATTGAACCAATGAAATAAGAATTATTTATGACCCCACAGAATAATCCAGTACTAGTAATAGCCATCAGTTATAAACTTAGTTGATTGGACAGTTGCAATATTCTAATTAAGATTATTTCAGGAACAAAAAGAATTGAATGCTCAGTAAGATAAAGTTGTCATGAAACATACTAATAAAATTAAATTAAGGGAAATGTATGAATCACATTGTAATTTATGTAAATCTGATTCCAGAAATGGTTTTTCTTCCAGTATTTTTGATCCCAACCAGTAATATTATTAGTAAAAAAAAAAAAAAGACTGCTAAATTGTGTATGTTTTATGGATTGCATTTTACCCAAAATAGGAAAGTACAATATTATTTTATAATTATTTGTAGCTCAAACTTAATAATAATAATTTTTTAAAGAACTGTTCACTTACTTTATAGTTTCCAGAAGGGAAGCTGTGTTAGTTTCTTGCAGCAAAGCCAAAGAAGTGTGTTACCTTAGCAACAAATGTATTAATTGCACAGATTTTCATGAATCATGTTTTATTTACAAAAAATATGAATTAATAAATGTGTTGGTTTTTAAAGTACTGTTTTTACTTTAGAGTTGAAAGAGTTTATCGAAATTGTAAACTTCTAAAAGAAGAATAAAAGAAGAGGCCAAAAGTCTGTGGCCCATAAGATGAGAGTTACCACTGCCTCTTGCTGTTGATTCCCAGCAACTAGCATTTAGAAATAGCATACAGACTATCATGTGGCAATCCCTTATAACTATATCTTCCAAAGTCTTATCTTTGGAGGCCATCATATTTTGTAGTGATTCCCAAAATTGCAGAGTTTTATTCTCATTGTTATAATCTTGTTGCTTGGAACTGAGGGTACTTCCATATGTACTGTTTGTACTGTTCTGATCAGGTCAGTTTCTGCACATTCCCATGCCATCATCTGAGTTTGATGATTGAGTTGATTTGCCTCCAGCTCAGGTGCAGCATAAGAGGAATTGCTGTAAAAGCTTTTTTACAGTAGGAATGTTGGAGCTCTTGGGAAGGCAGTTCCTCCATTGGCAGCAACTGTGATACAGTTCAATGGCTGTATCACAGAGCTAGGATTTCACCAGTCCTTTATGCAGAGGAAAAGGGCCTTGCTGGCTTCATACCTCCTGCTTGCAGTGACTGCTCAGATTTAGTACAGAACATGAACCCAGCACATGGAATGAGGAGCATTGGTTGAATGTCCAATTTGGAGCCTTCTATTGGTCAGATACAGGATGCTTTCAGCAAAGTTGGCAGCAAGACAGGCTCTGAAACTTTCTAAGGCTTTGGGGAATGAAACAGGGTGGAAGTACAACTTGAGGAATTAGAAGCACTTGGATTGGCTGACTTTAAAACTGAAAAATGTCTTTTCCTTTGCAGCATTGGGGTTAATTTGGGCTGGATCTGGCCAGAAGCTGCAAAGAATTCCAGAAAAAAATCCCACTATGCCAGTGGGAAAAGGGTCCAGAACTTTGCAGTCCTCCATTAGCCCACCTCCATCTTCCTTCCCATCACTGACTATTATAAGAATTCCAGAAGCCACACTCTTTGTGTTTTTCCTGCCTTGTTTACATATTATACAGAGGATGACTTTGGAGGTCAGAGGAAAAATAATTTACCAAGGCAACCATCAGATAAACGTGGCTTGAATCCAGACCAAGAAATAGGTCATACAGTCCCCCTAATTCACACGAAGATTAAAGAGGGGGGGGAAAGGAAGCACCTTCAGACTTGCAAGATTCTGTTACTGTAGTTGTTCCAATAAAAGCAGCTTTAGGCCAACACGGTGTCCATTTCTTAGCCTGGTCTACCTCCTAGGGCTCACACAGATAGAGAAGCCAAGGCTGTCCAGGTTCCAAGACTCCAGCGCACCACGGGGGGACAGCAAAGAGACACAAAGAAAAGGCACAGCGCTGTTGCTAAACTATTGGATTTTTCTATCAGTTTTTATTGGCAACTCTCAATGCCGCTCCAGAAGAATTTAAACATGCCTTCTGAGCGGAGACTAAAACAGACTAATTCAAACATTCCTGACACTTGCGGTTTAAATAAATTCTCCTTCCGCTTCTTGAATGCTCGCCCACTGACATCTCGCGAGCTTTGAAAAAACACCGCCCATTCTTCCGCTAGGTCCTGTGTACATATCGAGAAAGGGCCCAGTTTCTAGGGGAGGAGCTGCGCGGAGGAGATGGCTTCGCGGTTGTGGTCAACGGTTGGGTCTTGGGCAAGGTCGCGACCCGCCGAGAACCAGAAGGCGCCCTTAGCCAACGTTTTATCTTCACGAAATATAACCGTCACTCGGACTGGCGCCATCTTGCCTAAGCCCGTCAAAGTGAGTGTGAAGGGTAGCCATGGCTTGTAAAGGAGAAACGGGTAGGAACCAAACTGAGCAATCGCCTTGCAAGGATGGGGTTAATTGGCAGGTTGTGTCAGCCAATTGCGTGTAGCTTATTTGGAAGGGCGGTTTATCTTAGTGTTTGATCGTTGCCTAGTGGTGAACTAGGGGCAGATGCGGAAATAACGTACTGTTAAAGGGCGAGTACTCCGTTTCGTGTCAAAGAACCACTGTGGATCGCGAGCAGCAGGTCCCTGTTCCTCTCTGTGACATCCCCCCAAAAGTGTTTTTTTAAAAAAGCCGAAGTCGTCGACCACTGTTATGTCTCTCCTCTGCTAGTCAGCATGAGGAAGGGAAAATATTACTAGAGGAACTTGCCTTTCCCGCTTAATCTTGTTATGTCATGATGTGAATGCTTTTTGTTAATTTGGTTGGGCAATTATGCAGCAGGCCGGCTGATCTTTAGGAATCCCTTTATCACGTTGCAAGCAGTCTCCCATTCTCCCTCCCAACCCCCCCAAAACACCGTAAACCAGACCGCAGTTATTTTAAAAACTCAGTGGCAGCTTCACCTGACAGTGGTTAGATTTGAGGAGGAGCGATGGAGAGGGGACACAAAAGCCTTGCATGAATTGAGAATCAAAGGGCTAGCTGGTTATAAGGACTGTAATGGAGATAATCTAAATGCGGATACAATTGTGTTCTGTGATATCTGCGCTGATTATTTGAAACAACTAGATTTCATGCCTAGTACAGGAAACATGAGCATGAAACTGAGCAAACTCAGGGAGGCAGTGAAGGACAGGAAGGCCTGGCGTGATATGGTTCATGGGGTCACGAAGAGTCGAACACGACTTAACAACTGAACAACAACAGGAAACAACTTGAAGATGTATTTTTTTTAACCATCTTTATTTTTCTAGTGGTGTTGATACTTCTTATCCAGATTATAGTTGCCTCATGATTTCTTTTATTTGAAGGTAGTTTTCAAAAATGATTGCACCTGAAAATAAATACAGTAAGGCAGTAGTTAAATTTACTGAGGCAGTTGTGTGGTGATTCTTTTATTCTTTCCATCAGCTCTTGTTATACTCAGCTATACATTTGTTCATGTGTACTTGTATATAATATGTGCCAAGAGATATTAACCAGCTTTTCATTAATTCCTGTAGATGCCATTTGGTCTTCTCCGTGTGTTTGCCATTGTAATTCCCTTCCTCTATGTTGGGACACAAATCAGCAAAAATTTTGCAGCCTTACTTGAAGAACATGATATCTTTGTACCAGAGGATGATGACGATGATGACTAATAGGTACAATTATACCTGCCCAACCCTTTTCAGTGTTATAGCTGCATGTAGCCTATGAGTGGCATGCTGGGAGCTGGTTTGGGGAAGTGATTAAAAAAAATAGTTGGGCTAGGACAAAAAAAATGGTAGCTCCAAATAAAAAATTTGAACGAATTGAAATTTAATTAAAGTTAACTAGTTATTTTCTCCCTTCTGTTATATTAGTGGCAACTTTTGGAAGTGCATACAGCAATGCAAGAGATGCCTGTGGTTCTGGAACTATTGGTTGTACATCACTGTTTAAATAGAAGTGTAACTGAAACCCTGTGGTTGGTTGACAGACATAGGAGAGATCATACCATGAAGTTTTGGCATTAAGATTTCATAAAAATTGCTTAAACATTTTACTATATGTCCTTTAGAGTCTACAATGTTCTTAAATATGCCATTTCCAAAGCAGATTGTGCAGATTTCAGATTTGTAGGTTTTGTTTTTGTTTTGTTTTTTGCTTTAAGTAGAACTTTGATGTTGACTAACCAGAGGCAGGTATAAAATAGCAAGGCAGCCAGTTGTATAGTAGGAATTAAAAATAAGATTGTACATGGTCAGTTGAGGTATTAGTAGTGAATTCAAATACGAAATTCACTATCATCTAACAATCTATTTTTGTTCTTCCCTCATGTATTTTTTAACAACGTAATTTATGTGTTTAGGATGAAGAAGTTTTGATTATTGCTTATGATTACACAGTTGAGAGAAAGCCCTTGCTACCAGCGTCAAACAAGTTTGTTATCTAATTGGAGTTTTGCCCATACATGCTCTAAAGAACATTTGCAGCTTCAAACTGGGGACAAAACCCCACCCTTTTCTATATCTACCCCATCTTTTCATTATCAGCATGAATGGTCCCTGTTCTGCTGATACCTTCTTTTTTCTGTTACCTTCTATATCCAGCTCTGCAGCAAGGCTGAAGTAAGCATGTACAAGTTATGCTTTATCTACCTTTAGTTATATATGCTAGTAGTCTTCTCCTTTATATATAATAATTATAGCATGATGGAAATAGATACACCAAGACTTTGTAGATACTTGGCACTCTCTTCTATAGTAGGCTAGTAGAAGTATGTTTTGTTAAACACTTGCAAAAGACACATTACATTTGATTTAATAGTATGTGTGATGGCACAACAATATTGTATTTATGATGTACATATGAATCTTTTCCATTTGAGCCTATGTATTCATTTGTTTCCTGATCTATAGCAGGTGCACGCATTTTTTTTCTGGCTGAAGCAGCACTCCAAAAAATAAATGTCAGCACAATAATTATTCCCTCTTGTCATTTAAAAACTGAGTTGCAAATTTTAAAAGTGTTCTCTGGATTGTGCTCAAGCCTCTTGTCTTAAGCTGCAAATTGTATACCTGCTCTAAAGGGTGCAGAACTAGTACCCTGCAATCACAAAAATAGTTCCATGGTGTGAAATAATATTTCCCTGTTTCTTACAGGTTTACAAAGAGGAACAAAGCCATAATAAAGTGTTCTGATATCAATGTTTAATCACCGCTCCTCTCTGACGTCTAAAGAATGTATTTTGGGGCAGCTGGACTTCCCATCGTACCAGGGATTGTACTGTCCATGTGTAAACAAGGATGTTTAAATGATATATCTATTTAAGAATACATATATGTGTCTTCATTCAACAACCATTGCATGCTTATATCTATTTCTGAATGAACCGGATCCCTAATTAATATGAGGAATTCCTCTGGATAGTAAATGAAGACTTAGCGATCAAGGCTTGTGTGTTTCTTTTCTATATTAAGCTGCCGTCCTTCCCACAACTTTTGGGATGTATGTCTTATTGAATTGAGATGTATTTATGAATTAATATGCTTTGGATTGTGCTATCCATCTTTTGATACTACTTAAACTAGAATGATAGTTTTCTCTCTGTTTGAAAGGAATGAAAGCACAAGCCTATAGGAAAGTACATAAAGGAACTTCTCAGTCTTGATTATTTGATTCAATTGAATCAGCTATACAACAGCTGCCAATGTAAATAGACATTTTTATGGAACTTTGAGGAAGGTTTAATTAAAATTTGGTGAAAGGAAACTGCTTGGACATCTATTGTATAACTATTAGGTTTTTCCAGTTACCTGGCTTTTTATTTGTATTATATGATTTTCTTATGCAGCTGAAATATCTTAGAAAGATGGTAGGATTAGAATGTATAATGGAGGTATTACAGTTGTTAAATTTCTAAAAAACTGTGATAAGCCACCTCCAACTCTGCTGCCAACATTTAAACAGTCTGAGATTATATTCCAGAATTTGGAAAGATTCCTACAATTTTGAGGCAGTAAACACATGAAAACTGTAGTGTATCCCCTAAAATAAATGTTTAAAAATTGAACAGACTCCTAGGAATGTAATATTTTGAATTGCATTTTGTTCCTTTTTCTCCCAAATAGAATCTGTTCTGCATATACATCCAATAGAACCTCACAATATACTAAAGAGATATTTAGTGTTTCTTTTTAGATTGCAGTGTTATATATTATTTAAGACATTAATTGCAACAGAAGTCCTACAACATACTCAAACTGTACTGAAGTAGACTTTGCAAAATGAATCAAGGATGAAATATCAGCACAAGCATCCAGAATCAGTATAAATAATGCATGCTACATGAGTACTTCCCTGCTGAAGAGTTTTAAGATACAGGCATTTATTTGGAACAGAAAGAGTCATTGTTCTGTAAAAGTTGATTTAGCTCAAGGATCATGGCCTGTGTAGAACTTGGATAGGAAATCCGTGGGTTGTGGTGTTTCTGTCTCATTAAAATATCTCATCATATGGGTCTTTTGTTTCCACACATTAATTGTTTCTTGGAATTCCATTTTTCCCTATATCAAGCATAAAAGAACAATCATTATTTAAATTATCAATATGCCAGGTAGTATCTCCTGTCAAATCAGAGTTTTAAGTACAAAATTATCACACATTAGCAATAACTTATTTTTTAAAAAACAACAGCAGGTTTATGTCCAGGGGAAGATCAGTATAGAAGTGGGTAATCTATGGCCTTCTATCTAATCTCACAGCCATCTTTAGAAAATCAAACTTCTGCTAGGAAATCTGTTCCATCATAGCAGCCCTCTGACAGGAAAAAGAGGATGTGAGAAGGGAGCTCCACTTTTGCCTCTGTCTCTCCCTTTCTTCAGTGCTATCCACCCTGTAGTGTCCAACATTAATCTTGAAAAAAGAGCTGTCCCTCATAGGAAAAAAAAAAAAGTTCATTCCTGCTGCCTGGCAAGAAATTCTTAGCCTAGCATGGTTCTAGGCTGCTACTGGCTCAGTACTTCTGAAGGAAGGCTCTGTACATATCACCAAAAGGGTCTGGATTTTATCTATGATACTTTCATGAAGGATGCTTGGGAAGAGAAGGGATACAAAAACTGGGGAAGAAGTGTTTGGCAGAAACCTCACTGGTCTCATCAGGAAGGCATCCAAGTGGAGGGAAAGAGGCAAAAGCCCAGAACCAAATATGCAGCCAAGGATTGGGGCCAGGAAAACAACACAGAGAAGTAGGACACGATGAAGGGATTCAGAGGTTTGGAGGAACTACAAAAGAGATGGTGGTAAATATGCTACTGAAAACCTCAATGTTTCTGTACTAAAGCATAGCATATGGGAAATAAACTGGGAGAGCAAGAGATCTGACCTCAGGAAGTCAAATATGCAGTGATAGACATCACTGAAACATGATGAGTGTTACTCCTGAGTGGCACACAGCAAGTTATTCAAAAGGAACAGACCCAATAGAAATGGCACGGGCCAAATATATATATGTATGTTCTTCCCAGAAATTCAGGAATCAGCATGGAAAGAACAAGTAATACTGCTGTAGATCCACCTGGTTAGACAGAAGACAGAGATCTTTCTACGTTAGATGACAGCTCTTTCAAAGAGCCATGCAATACAGGTAGTCCTCACAACCATTCCTTCAGTGATAATTCAAAATTACATGCCGTGGGGCTGGGGCAGCTGCAGCTGGGGCTTTGTGCTGCAGGGCTGGGGCAGCTGGGGTTTGGCACTGCACCGTGGGGCTGGGACAGCTGCAGCGGGGATGGCTGGGACTTTGCATCATAGTGCAGGGGTGGCTGGCCGCAGTGGGAGACTTAAGGAGGCATTCAGCAGCTATGGCAGAGCTGGGGCTGAAGTAGGCCCATGGGCAGCAGGGGCAGGCTGAGACCGCTGAAAGCCCCAGGGCTCTACTTCAGCCCCAGCACTGCTGGCACCACCACTGTGCTGTGTCACTGTGCAGGATGGCCAAAAGGGCAGAGATGTGGGGGGAGATGGGTGGGAGGAGTTGAGGAGGAGCAGTCCCTTACCTTGGAAGAACTGAGGCTCGGAGCTGGGAGGGATCAAGCTGGGAATGGCTTGGATCAGAGTCCTCAGTTAATGACCCACAATTGACAACAGCAATGGGGACTGCCAAGACTGCCGTTGCTAAGCAATGTGGTCACGTGACATCATGCTTTACGACCACATTGCTTAGCGATGGAAATTCTGGTCACAATTACCATTGTAAACAGACCAGCATTAATACATGCAGAATTTTATAAAATGCTGAAGATAAAAAGGGACATGTAAGAAATTGAAGGAGGAAACATAAAGGAGAATAGAAGGTAGTTGCACTCTCTCAGGAAAGCTAAAGCTTAACAAAAAGCTAAAGCTTGTGATAGATTACAGAATTACAGCCAGTTGCGTCTAGTGGTTAAGGCACCAGGCTAGAAAGCAGGAGACTGTGAGTTCTAGTCCCGCCTTAGGCGTGACTTTGGGCCAGTCACTCTTTCAGTGCGTCTAGTGGTTAAGGCACCAGGCTAGAAAGCAGGAGACTGTGAGTTCTAGTCCCGCCTTAGGCGTGACTTTGGGCCAGTCACTCTTTCAGTGCGTCTAGTGGTTAAGGCACCAGGCTAGAAAGCAGGAGACTGTGAGTTCTAGTCCCGCCTTAGGCGTGACTTTGGGCCAGTCACTCTTTCAGCCCAACTCACCTCACAGGGTTGTTGTTGTTGTGGGAAAATAGGAGGAGGAAGGAGTATTAGGTATGTTTGTCACCTTGAATTATTTATAAAAATAATAAAGGCAGGATTAAAAAATCTAAAAAAGCCAAAAAGGTTTCTTTAGGTATGTTAGAAATAAAAGGAAGCTGAAAAGAATGTATGCAAATGGTGAACTGTTAATGGGTGATTATGGAAAGGCATCTGTCTTCTCTCCGAAAAGAAATGGAGCCCTAGCTAATCATCATTATACTATTGGGGAAGGAGGGAACTGCAGCTTAGGATAGACAAAAAGAGTTAAGAGAAAATTTAACTAATTTAATTGAATGTATGGCTCCAAGACCTGATGGATTACATCCAGGATACTGAAGGAAGTAATGGATGTGAATGCAGAACCAGCTCTCAATAATCTTTGAGAACTCCTGGAGGATTAGGGAGGGTCCAAAAGATTAGAGGAAAGCAAATGTCATTCCTATCCCCAAAAGGGGAAGGAGGAAGACCTGGGAAACTTCAGACCTGGCAGCTTGACATCTATACGGGGTAGGTGGTCTTTGACTAGATTATCAAGCAGCACATTTCTAAGCACTTGGGTAGGCAAGCTACAGTTATTGGGAGCCAATATGGAATTGTCACAAACCAACTGTGCTAGAATAATCTTAACTGCCTCTTTGATACAATTACTTGCTTAGTAGAGCACGGGAATGCCATACGTACAGTACACCTGGACTGCATTACCAATATGTTTTAGCATTCAAGGAAGAAAACTCAGTCAAAAATGGCTGATACAAATGAGAGGTATTTTATGATGTCTGTTACAACTTCTCACTCTATTTTCCATTTTCATAGAGATCTGACAAAAAGGGGAAATAATCATCTCCATAACATCTCTAATCCTACATCTGCTATGAATTTAGAACAAGTATTAGTTGTCTTACCTTAATAACAAGCAAATCAATAACTCTGGGGTCTGTGACATGAGCATTTCTCATGAACATCTCTCGCACCTTATCACGCCCCTGTTTCACTGTGATGTCCAGCTGGTATATATGCACTAGACCAGAAGCGAATTAATGATCAACAATAAAAAACAATCAATCAATGACAATACATTGTATCTTAAACTTTATCACCACTTCTGATAAAACAAAAGTACACTGGTTGTTTTACTGAAATTTATGGGACATATGTAAAAAAAAAAAAATTAATAGAAAAAGATCTTTTAAGCTGCAGGAAAATCAGAAGCCTACATCAAGTACAAGATTATTCTGATTTTACCATGTATAAGTGGTACTCCAAGCTATCAGTGCACTGAAACTAGTGATTTTCCAAAAGGAAAATTATTTCCCAACGCTAACAACCCCCCATCCCAATATTAAATACTATACTAGATAACTTGTGGAAATGCATTCTACAGGTGTTTAAAAAAAAACACTTGTTATATATATACAGCAGTTACTTTCATTTAATAAACAGAAAGAAAAAATAAGTAGTATTTGAGGTAACACAATACAATACAAAATCTTATTTAGACTATGAGGCAGGATTTTTTTATATTTGAGATTCTCAAGTAAAGTATCTTGAGGATCAGTTTGATCAAAACTTGAAACTACATTTACAATGAAAGAAAAAGTGGGGTTTTTTTTAAATAAAAGGTACAAAAATATCAGTCATATATCTGAAACCTTTGCTGCCTTCTAAATCCACATATTAATTCTTAAAGTTTTTCTTTCCACTCTGTGGCTATTTATTAAACTATCTATAACAGCAACTATTTTGTATGTGTTGTTTCTGCAAATAAATGTCCTGTACAACATGCTAATATGCAATTAATATTTACACATTTATTTCTGGTTCATGATACAGTTCCAATTGGTTTCAAGCTACTGAATACATTGAGTATGTGAATTCAACAGTGACAATGAATACTGTATAAAGATGAATGAATATGAGTGAACCCTAGGATTCAAAGAAAATGGAACAAGAATATAGAAAAACAGAACATTAATCAAAGAACAGTTTGAATTACAGTATACGCATGCGTTGATAGTCATCTATCCGGGATGGTGTAGTGAATCCTGCAGAGTGCAGGGGGTTGGACTAGATGACCTCTGAGATGACTTCCAACTCTATGAACCTAATCCCAATTAACTATCTCCTACTTATTTATGCGTCTAGTCATCCAGGCATCTTAGAGTGCCCATTACATTTAAGGCACTCCCGTGAAAATGGGAAAGTGCCCCTTTGTCATCTTCAGACCGGAGAAGCCACGAAGGAAAGATATGAGGAAACCCCGGTCCGCGATGCTCCCTTCCAAGCCAGCCAAGCTAAACGTCTCCTGTCCCTACGACCTTCACGCGGAGATCGCGAACTTAATCACGGCCCCTCACCAGTATTTGGGATTTCTCGGTACCAAGTTCTGTATAATTCTCTCACGTGCCGTTTGGCTTCAGCCAAATCCCGACTGAAGATGGGTTTTACTACAGCTCCGGCAGCCGCACCTACCACCTTCCCTGCCCCGGCGGCCGCCATATTTCTTATCCAGCTAAACAAACCCCGCCCCCATCGTTTTCCTCACAGAGTAGGAGGGTGTTAATTAACTATGTTTCTATTGGCTAAAAGCTATCACAGTCTCCTAAAGTTGGCTAACGATTGGCTAATTGTTAGTTTTAGGAGTGGAAGAGAGGACTTCCCCCTTACGATTGCTGACCAACAGCGTTGAGAGAGTCCTTGGGGTTCTCTGAACTTGATTCTTTTCTTGCAAACGAATCATTACCCGGCTAGGTAACATCTTCAGTGCACATTCGCCTCTATTAGCGTTGAGAGAATTTAAGCTCAATACTGCACAGGTAGCTCCGTCTTGGCTCTGCTAATACCTAAACCGGAAGTTGAGTAACCCAAGATGCAGGAGTATAAACACGGTTGACTTGCGCCACGCTGATCTTATGGTTCTGCAAAACAAAGCTTATGTGGGGTGGAAGCACTGTGGTATGCACAAAGAGATATGAGGGATTTATTGACATCTCCAATTATGGCTTAACCGTCTCAGTATGGTAACCGAGTAAACTCAGAAACCTTGAAGTGTGTTTTAAACATTTGCTTAGTAGCCCGAGCAAACCCCAAAAAACCCCAAAGGCAAACTACTAGGACTATGATCATTATGAAAATTATTTAGATGAAGGGCTTCAAACTTTGTACATGGGACCTCTTTATTATTCATCAAAGCAGACTGATTTTTTCCAGCACTCACACGTACTGGGGAAAAAAGATGCCACAGCTTTAGGCACTCAAACTATGATATATGATTCTTTAGTTGAGATATGATAATCATTATTTAGTTAAATGAGAAATATATTCACATATTTCTTTATAGACTGCAAAACTGTTGAAAGATGGTGGTATCAAATTTAAGACAGTAAATTTACATCAACCCCAACTCACTAGCTGCTTTGGCTAGTGAGAGAGGCAATGGCAAATGTGTGGAGTGGAAGGAGACTGGCTCAGAGAGCTGGAGTGAAGGCCAGTGCAATGGAGAGCAAAGAAGTGAGAGAGGCATTGGTGTAGATTAGAGCTGAGGAGAAGATGGAGCAGAGTCCGGAGGGCGCTTGGCCTGCCAGTGTTTTTTAGATCAAATTCTTTGGGTGAGAGCTGGAGAATTGTGAAGATTTCCCCTCTATATTGTGAGAACAGGAGAGAGGGCAGTGTTACCACCCTTCCTACTGTAGTGCATGCTGTGGATGTGCAGTTAGTGAGTTAGATACCTGGAAGGTCTTTGAAGGATTTGTATATTTTTTAGGGAGAAGGGACATGGAAAGGTTTATGACTATAAGAAGGTTCTGCAATGGAGTGAATGTGATGTGTGACTGTAGGCTGAAGAGTATTGTCCTCTGTGTGGTAAGCATGGAACCAGGCTAGGTCTGCAGAAGTATCCTACACATGGCAGCCAAAGTGATTGCCAGGGCCAGGCCTTGAAGAGATGGGAAGAAAAGGGGTCAGTGCAAGATGTTGGCGGGGGGTAAGTGTAAAAATGGTGGGGAGGGTACATTGGGATTGTGGTGGCCAAAGGAAAGTATGGCAAGGGGCACTGGGCACGCTGTTGCTTCTAAGCTAGTTCCTTCTACTCTGGTCCATATGGTTGAATTTTCCAGCACCTTATGTCAGCCTTGTGAGATAGACCAGACAGGAAGCCCAACCAGATTTTACATTAACAGAATCTTACAAGTCTGAAAGTACACTCCTCCACCTGTCCCCTTTACAGCCCAAGAAACTAGGGAGGATCCCTTCTGAGCCGCTAGCCCCACACACATTTCTGCTGTGGGCTACTTTTTCCTTTATCTGACTGTTCCTCTGGCTGAGTCTCTTCACCCTGTCTTCCAAGGTCATCTTGGCCTCTGGGCTGCTGCTGGTAAATACCAGGTTTGTACCTAATGACATCGCACCTACCCATGTGTCTTTGCTGGACATTGCTGGCAATTTTCCACTTTCGCGTGTGGTGGCAAAAGCTCAATGAATAAGCCAAAGCAAGGTCCAAACTTGTTTCTGTATTAGGCTAGTAAGTTACAGTGAATACTGAGCTCCCAGCCAGCAAAATTCAAAGAGCTAAGAGCACAAAGGGTAGTCAGTGCAGTTCTTATATAGGTGTACAAAGAACTGGAGAGGAGTATGAACCTTGTCAGAAAATTAGTTTACAGCTAGATGAGAATGCAGATGAGGTTGCCCAAGGAACAGGTTGTCCCTGTGTCCGAAACAGCAACATTCTGTACTACCAGGGCACTTAGCTTATCAGAAGCACAGATGCCATGCTAATTGCCATGTATTGCTATTTTAACAGTTTGACCCTCATCCTACCTCAAGCAAGGGAAACTGTAAAGATATTATTACATCCTTGAAGAGGTTACAGTGTGGATATGTCTCTCTGCTTGGTCTTAAAATACAGGCAAAAGAGGATAGGAGGTGGACTCCAAAATACATGAAAAAGGTTTATTAGTAGCCAACTCTGTTTCAGATGAACTCTGAAAGACACTGACAGGTTTTCTGTTTATGCTGAATAAATCAGATCATTAGTCATAGATCAGTGCTCATGACAGAGGATTCCATCCAAAATAAATTGAGCCATCAATAAACATTTTGTTTTGTTTCATTTGTGTTGCTTTTAGATCATTTTAGTCTGGGCTGTCTGTGTGGTTTTATGTTTTATTTCTTTTTATGTTTTTTGGGGGGTGGGTTGTATACCGCCAAGAGTCCATTGGAGTTGGGCAGCTATAATAAATGTAAATAAATAAAATAAATATCTCCTCTGTTTCTATGTTTTGTCTGACAATTGTTTGAAGTTGTTACAGTTATGATATTGCCTTTCATATTCCTAACTTATCAAATGCTGCCCAAAAAAGTAGGATTACAGAATTCTGAGAAGCAGCATGGAAAGATACATAATCGGGCAATCCTATGCTTTTATGTAAACAAAAGAAGACCTTCCTTTTATCTTCTCAAATATGCAATATTGAAAATTGCATCTTAGTCATGATCAACCTGAGATCTGTGGAAAAAGATGAACACATGAATGAAGCCATACAAGTTTTACCCAGATAATTTCCTAGATTCCAATGAACAGCTAGGATAGTATGTCAAACAAGCAGCTTTCCTGTTTTTCTCACCAGATACATATGAAAAGGAGAAACATGGAAAATAATAGCTCCAAATTATTTCCATAGTTTCTTAAACATAAAAATCTACTTGAAGTATTGCTGTAATCAGTATCCATTACCCATCTTTTGAAGTGAAGGCTCTTATTTATGATAAGCCATATTACAATCAAATGGATGGGATGAATCAAAAGGAACTTGGCTAGAAGGGTATAATGGCTGGTCAAAAACTAGAAGACCATGAAAACTCAATTAGAGCAATGGTCCATCTAACCCTGCACCTATCTAACCCAGAGTGGCTGGCCAGATATCTTCAGCCTAAAATAAGATATACAAGCTTCATACTTCCTATAATATTTATTAGGTCCATAGGCATTTGGAAGGGGAGGGAAGGAAGAGGGGGAGAATGATGAAATGTAGGTGTGATACAAACTCTGCCCCCAGCATATGATGTTGCAATGCTAATGCAAAAGGGTGGCACTTTCATTGGTGACATCATCATGGACATTTTGTCATTTTGGCGCCATCATAGTTAGGAAAGACACCTATGATTAGGGTTCTGCAGTGTTTTGGAAAATGTGATTTGGAGTGTGCATGTCAGTCAATAAACATTTATTAAATATGTAATAAAAGTTTAATATTAATAAATTTATTTTTTTAAAAAAGAGAAATAAGAAAGATGTACAAACATTGTGAGATGAGATAAAATATTTTCAGATAACAAGGATTCAACTCTACATATTAGAATATCTTACATCAATTTAAAACTTTAAATCAATATTAAAATTATTATGTAATAACTAATGAGAGTAGCCAGTTTAATGTAAATTACAAATTATAAACCAAGATAAAATATTGCAATAATTTCTGTGTAAAATGAAAAGTCTATCCTTAATTAATAATCATAATGAACTTAACATTTTAAAACTTTGCATGTTAGGGGAAACCCAAACTTCAGATGCAATACAAGTCCATTATAAAATTGTAGTCCAGAAATGGTTTTATTGAATTAAATTTTGTATCTGATATATTTTTCAGGTTTGAAGTTAAATTTGACATTGAATCATACTCCCACAACTTAATTGCCATTCTTTTATAGAAGAGATTATATGTAATTTCCAGTGAGAAACAGAATGTCCTAGCACCATTGTAATGGTATGTGGGAAAGACCTTGAGACACTGGGCAAAGAGACGCTGCCAAGGGAATGGTCAGATAAAAGACAGCATAACCTGCAACTGGATAGTGGCTGGGGCAAGAGGCTCAGAAGAGATCCTCTGTAGTTTCTCAGGCTGTAAAGTAGACAGAGGGGGGAGAATTGTATTTTCATAATTGCAAGGTTCTGTCAATGTAGCTTTACAATAAAATAGAATTAGCTTACCTGGTTGTGATTCCTATCTGGTTTACTTGGCGAGGCTGACATCAATCTATTTTAGCAATTACTAGTGGAAATCGGTGAAACACATTCTATCAATTTTTTCTACATGTAATGTTAACTGTAAGTTTGATAGTCTTCCATTGGTATTCCCATTATTGCATGTTGATTGTTCTGTTCAAATTCTCTATCCATTTCATCATACAATCTTTGCCTTGTTCAGTTTCTGAATCATATTTCCATAACAGCTTATAAATAACCCTCAGCAGGTGTTCTGAATTTTGTATAAGCTTTTCCATTTCAGTCAGGTCTCTAAGTGTTCCATCTTGTTTTTCTAGCTTGTTTTGAACATTTTGAAATGTTCAAGATATTGAAGCCAATGAGACCTTCCTGACTTTTCCAAGGAGAGGGTCTTGAAAAATTTAATCTTCATTTTATTAAAGGTTAAATCTTACAAATATAGAAATTATCTCTCTACTGATTTTTTGAGGGGGTACATCTGCCCTCAGGAAAATAAATATTTAATATTGGAGCAAGGGGC